GCTGGGCAACGCTCAGCTCGAGACCTCGAGTAGCGTACGGAAGAAGACCCATCGACCCATTGTATCCAGCCATCATCGTTCTTTCCAGAAACACGTGCACATTTGCATATGCTGGGTTGCTGCACTGCTATCTTTTCCTCTAATTTCCTTTGCCATACATACATACAGTATGACATACATGTCAAACGCGAATCTTCAGAATGCGCTGCCATGCTTCCCCGATGCTCAGTATCATGCACTCATACCTGTTCAACATACAGCTTCATGTCGCACACCTGCAAAGTCTCGAGTCCGAACACGGCAAATGCCGTACGATCTTGCATGCCGTTCCCCGTCCCGACCCCTCAATCGTCGACAAAATTCACAGAGCGGATCGGGTCTCGCAAGCGCATCAGGCGTGCCGGTTCTGAACACACACACACACAGCTATCACACATCAAGTTTCAAGGTGTCGATGGGTATTAATTAGGTCGCGAGAACGTCCGATTCGGCTGGAACGACAACGGGAAAGCAGACAACCTCCAACATGTGCGGAAAACAACCTAGAAATATGTTTACCGGCTGATGGCTTGGATTCTCTGCCAGGCACTCCGTGTTGCGACTTCTACAATGACCGCAGCAAGGTGCACACACTGATCCGAAGACAACGCGCAGAGCTGCTGGGATGAGTCTGTCCTTGATGAGCCCAGATTTTTGCAGGTCTTCTGCGACAACTTCGGTACCATCCAGTGCGATCCTCAAGCACATGACTGCTGCGTGGAGTTACATGGAATTTTGGTGATGCGTGCACAGCTGCAATGTCCAGTCGTGTCTGAAGGCAGTTTTCCCACTGCCCAACCGCACCCTGGCTGGGATCCAAGCGGTGCGTGTTGCCATGACCAGTACTAAGAGTTTCTTAACGTTATAGTTTCTACTAGGATTGCAGATTCTTGCTGCCGCTTACGAGCCACTTCATGGCCAAGGGCCTGTCGGCTAAAGCTTGGAGCAGACGAAAACGGCAATGTCAGAATCGACGAGCTTCGTGCCGCTTTCCCAGTTTGAGCTAGCAAGGATCATCAATGGTCGTCTGCAGTTCTTGAATGCCTGTGTATGTATGTTTTGGAGTGACAGGGAATGGTGCATAGGTGATTCTTTGGCATGCATCTCTTCCCGAATTCAGCTCAAACCTGTGCTCCAGTTCTTCTCCGGTAAAAAGTTGATCACCCTTAGGCTGCTCAGAAATATTATTCCTGACCGACGCAAACCATACTTCCTGTGGGGGATGGGGTTCTGGATGACTAAAGATGAGAAGCGGCCGAAGGCCGGGTTGCAAGTTGCAGATGGTTGAGGTAAAAATATGGAGCCAAGGTCTGGGAGGAGCCTGTGTACGTTCTGTTGCTGATCGTTGCTGGTGGGATGGCCGCCGATGCCCTGTTTCTCTTAGCTCAGAGAGATTGCCGGAGCGGATTGCTCCGAGGGCCTCGTGCTGCTGATCGTCAGCTGTGGCTTCGCCTGCCGCCACTCTCAGCGGGTCCAAGCCTGCGGCCTCGCCGTCTGGCGCTGCTGCCGATACCTCGCTAACAAAGCCAGGGCCTCAGTGGCCTCTGCACTCACTGTATAGTCGCTGCTCACAGGCATGCAAGAGTTTGTGAGGTGGGCTGCTGGCGGCGCTGCAAGAGTTGCTGCGGAGCGTGTTGCTCAAGGTGCAGGAGGCCCTCTCTTTAGGGAGTCAGGGAGTCCTGGATGGCGCCTACGGAGCCCTGCTGTGTCAGGCTGTTCCGCACGAGTCCCACAGCCGAGGCAGGCCGCGTCGCAGTGGGTTCAGGTTGCCCCGCGGTTGGAACAAGGAAAGAGCAAAAGAGAGACGAGAGGCAAGGCAAGAGCAGGCCAGGACTTGCGAAGCGACATTCATACGTGTGCCGAAGTTATAAGATGCCTCACCTTTGTTTCAGGAGCGACAGCGGAAAGCTGCTTTCACGAACGTTCTGTCCTCGGTGATGTGGAAATTTGTGAAATAGACTCTCTAGACAAGCTGTGTGCATAGCCAGACTGCTCAAAAGAAGTGCTCGTGTGGCTTGAATTGTCTGCAAGAAACATTGGCGAGGAACTGCGCCGGTCGCAAACATTCGGCCACGCTGACTTGTTGCTGAAGTATGCTTATTGAGTCACCCCCTCAATGATGCCCCCGCCGTAGCTGGTTCGTGGCAGGGGAGTTGGACCTGACGCGGAGCTCCCGCCTCAAGCGTTGCACCAGCAGGGAGTAGAAGGGCCGAGAGACAAGATGGCATTGACATTCCCCGGTTTGCCAAGACTCTTGGAAGAATTCTCTTCGCCGCTGGACCCGTCATTGTTCCGCTCGTCGGTGCGCAGAGTCTTTCTTCAGAAGCTCTTGGTGCGAGGAGCCTGACGCCTGAAACGGCTCCGACTCCGAAGGTTCTGATCCCAAGTCCTGTGAAGAGCCATCCCAGGCACCGAGAAATCCGAGCCATTCCGAGCCTCTGGGAGTCTCAAACAACCCCACGTGGCAGGCAGAAGCGCAAGGCCAAGAAGACTCGCGTGGAGCGTTTGAAGGTTCCGGAGGCACTAAGCCCCTGTTAAGATATTCAAGATCAAGAGCCCGCGGCGCATCTGCTGCCAATCATGTGGAGGCCGAGGAGGACGAAGCAGGTGCGATGAGTTTCAACGGCGTCGAGTCTTAGTGCCATCGGTGTCAGCACAGGTGGCATGCGGACAAGCAGCAGTAATGTCGAGGACACGCTAATTCTTGCCAAGTATTGCCGACTCATTTCCGATCGCAGAGCATGTCTTGGGGTTGGACGGTTTGCCTGTCTCCACATGTTTGGGTGCACTGAACTCGGAAGGACACCAGTGACTCAGAGAAGTCTTCGCAGGCGCAAGCTGGCCCTGTTCCTCGGAAGCTCTTCACGGATGGCATCTGCAGAAGGTGTCCAAGCCTGATGTGGGCGACATTCATCCCTGGAGCATCCAAGATGTGTTGGAACAGGAGGATGGGGAGCCGGTTGAGTCAGACTCAATGACACCATGCAGAACACAATGGGACCACGGGCATGTTGCCGAGGACATGAGTGGCTCAAAGAGAAGTCGCCCCGTGGACACCCCACGGATTCAAGATGAAAGGAAACGGCTTCGAGATGAAAGGAAACGCAACAGAGCTAAATGAACCTGCGACTAAGCGATCGAAAAATACCAGCAGTAGAGCTTTCACGCAACTGTGGTTTTCGCACCTATCAAGCAGTGTCGATCTTATCAGGGAGACGGCGTCAAGAGTAGGATGGCAGACAGATCCATGCTCGAGCCATCGCATCACGTGGAAGCGGGCTACGCTTTGCCCAGACTGGAGGAGAGGCGCTGCATCTCCGAGCCCGAAACCTTGAACAAAGAAAGAGCTCTGGTTTGGAACAGCCTTGGGCCGCACCGCGAGGATGCGAGAGCGCTGTTTGCGCCTTTCCTTCCCTGCGACGACACCCAGCTTCGAAAGGCCGGCGGGTGGGACCGGTAGGACCAGCTCTTTCTGGTGGGAGCCCCGAGACAAAGGCTTACCTGCGCCTGGCACTCAAGTACCATCCGGATAAGCTGCCGAAGGCTGCCAGCACTTGCGCTGCATTGAACGGGCTTTTGCTGGGCCCATCATCCTGCTGTCTCAATCGTGACAGCTTGGTGAGCACGGTTTTCTTGGCACATGGAATGATTGGGGTACTGGGCCGTCGAGGGTTTGCTGGGTCCATGGGACTGTGTTTGGGAGGCGCAGCGGGATGCAGCCACGGCTCTTTTCCAGGCAATTGCTGCCGCTGCTCAATGGCAATCTTTGGAGAGTCTCTAGAATGTCTGCGCAGCCAGAGCCTGCAGACTCACAGATACTGTTTGTCCACAGGCCAGGGAACCAATCCCGTCCCTTGAAACCCTGTGGCTGTATCTTGAAATTAAATGCCCAGATGTTTCGAGTCCCGTTAAAACTGCTGGCATGAAGCCTTGCACTACAGCATGGCAGCCTCTGTGCCGAGGAATCTGATACCTTAGAAGCCGCAGACAGGTCATAGAAGCCATGTGTAGCACATTCGCGCAGGGTAGAGAGGGCTTCGTGCCCTGGATCCGATGTGCTGAGCAAGAGCGAGAGTCGACCATGCTACTCGATGTCTGTGAGGTTTACGAAGAGCTTCTGAAGCCCTTCGGCGGGAAGCTTCCCAAACGAATAAAGACTGCTGTTGCGGCGGCGGCTGAACTTGGAGATGTGCAGGTTGGGACCCACCGTGTCTGTCATGTCAAGCATTCTGGCAGCTTTGCCGATTGCAGGAGCTAGAGCGCTTGCTGAGAGAGCTGCCATCCAGAGCCAACGAGGCCTCGGGGTAGAATCATAGTCATAGTCGAAGCTTGCAACTTCTGCGAAATGCCGACTTATGCAAGGAGGACTATGTCGGCGTCTCCCCGCTGATGTTTGCGGCTAAAGGTGGTTGCATCGAAGCAGCAGAACTGCTTTTGAGCAACTCGCCTCGGCAAACTGTGCTCGTTGTCACTTCGTCTACCTTGTAGAGTAGCTGTGAAGTGTCTGCCAAGGCTATGGTGCGGACGTGCACTACGAGACTCCCTTTGGTTGGTCAGTGCTCGTTTACGCAGCACTATCCAACCAGGCAGTTTGGTCTTAGACGTTGCCGGTGTTCAACCCACCGGACACCATCGCCTCGAAAGCCATCGTGTGAGCCCCTTGCAGGGTCCAATGGTCCGATGGCTCGTGGCCAAAGGTGCCCGAGTCACTCCACATGAGCTGGAGCTCGCAGCTTTCGGTGGCTACGAATTGCCTGCGGCTCAGATGGTGACTTGAGCAATCTCTTCGCATGCGACACTAGCGCAGGGGCCTTGCGCCGCTTCTGGAGCTCTACAGAGGCAGCATCGCAGAGTTGCGCACCGAGGCCTGCTTTGCCTCTCGGTAGCTTTTGACTCTGCCTGGTCTGTGCATGGAATTCACTTATTCAGGCCTCTGGGCACTCTCTGATGCATCTCGTTTGCCTGGGCATCCTGAACTTGCCGAGCCTTGGAGTATGATCGAGCTTCGACGCCTCCCCAGCGGCTGTGGTTGCGTCACTGATCTCAGGAAGAGCAATCCGGAAAGATACCTGATCTGTGCAGACTTGCTCATCGACCAGGGTGTGCCACTAGATGTCCAGGCGGCAGCCTCAGGTTTCCGTGTGTGCGGTGGGCAGTGGAAACGTTGCCGACTTTCGTTCCCAGCAGGACAAGCGTGGGCGGACGTGTTTGCAGCTCGTTGCCGGCCATCCCAACTGGGAGGAGCGGGGCTTCGAGGGCTCCAAAGCACACCTGGAGATCGTGGAGAGGCTCTGCATCGCCAAGGCGGATCCCAGAAAGTCCGACAGACATGGCGCTGTTGCTGCACTTCATCAATTCAGAACCCCAGAGCTCCTTTCTCAGTGATCAGCCCTGCTTCCAAGGCAACTCCGCCTTGTCGCTAGCAAGGCGGCGTGGGCTTCGCCGTGTCGAGGCATTGCGGGGTAGTACACATTGACCCATTCTTCAGCAGGTGGGTATGGAAGCTTTAGTGCTGCTGAAAGCTTGTGTCCCATACATCGGTGCCACTCAAGACCCAAAACCTGTACCCGACGCCCGACGCTTTAGTGCTGTGTGGAGGAGGTGCTGCTCAAGTTCGGCGAGATCGGAGAGCACACTTCCAAGCTCTGAGACCAAGCGCAGCCAGTTCATGTCAGTAGATGTTACTCTCAATGCACCGAGCGGTGCATCAATCGCCGGCCCTTTGCAGCCGTGCGAATGCTTTTCCGCGGTCATCCTGCGCCGGACTGTGAGACTGTAAAGCTGGAGGGGACTGGGCTGCTCGTTCTTCAGGGCTTAGTTGCGGGATCCTCGCAACGCTCAGAGATCCTTTGACAGGCCGAAGAGGCGCCTGCACAAACAGGCTCGCGACCGGCCGTGTCCTCCGACGGGAACTACCTTGGGGAACTGTCCAGAGAAGACGCTGAGGCAACCAAGAATCTCCAGAGCATGCTCCGGCCCATCATGACGCCCATGGAGCCGCAGAGGCCAGGCTCTGCACCGTCGGGTCTTCTAGCGCAACAAGTGATCCAAGGCACCCGATCTCACATAAATTCGGCTTGCAGGACTGGGATGCCGAGTTACAGACAATTCTGCACCCAAGTTAAGCGCCTCAGCATGTTGCCCGGTACTTGGCAGGACTCTTTCGCATCTACGACAACCAGCTTTGCTTCAGGTTTTGCTTCTGGCTACGACACGAGATCCTCGTTTGGTGAATTGCGGCATGATTGTGGATGTCGAGAAGTCCCGCAATTCTTCAGTTTATCGAGGGCGTTGAGGGGCAGCTCACGATGAATGCATAAAGATGAGGCGGCCAATGCAACAGTCCCGAGCCCCGAACCGCGAGCGCCGAGCACTCCTTTTGCAAGGGTAATAAGTGAGAGGAGATGCGGTTTCGCCAGGTGTCACTTCGATGTCCGGAGCCGGCTCCCAAGTCGGTCCGGGGCCCCGGGTCGGACAGGCCCCCACAGCGGTTCTTGATTACGGTATCTCACGGCTCAGGTGGAATGGCACAAACCTTCTCGGAAGGCTTCGGCCTGCAAGCAGGACGGTGCTCGCTTCAGGCGGAAGTTCCAGGAGCCTTCGCATCCCGCGAGCGACAGGACATCACAAGTCGCTTGGCGAAAGGCAGAGACGGAAGCGTCGTGCCAAGGACTCCAGCTATGCTTCAACTTGAGCCCACTGGTTTTTTGTCAGAGCATCTCAAAGCTTGGGCAAGAGCAGATCAGGGAGAGGGTGCTAAGGGGTAGAGAGAAGGAGAGGGAGGGAAGGCACGGAGGGTGAGACTTGAAGGATCGGCCCCGACGGGGTCCAGGCTCGGCCTGGAAGCGCAGCAGTTCAATTAAATGCTGCCACTGTTGGATATGCGCAGGGCACTAGTCTCTTTGCTTGCTCAGGCAGCCAATCGCGCACAGCATGGGCCGGTGAGGACATGCAGTGCCTTGTTGGCGAGGAAGAGATGCAGCTGTTACGAGTTCGCTTCATCATTCTCCGCCATTCAGATTTGGCCTGGATTCCGGAAGACAGGTTTCAGATGGGACGCTGTTTTTGGCTTGGGAACGAGGTGACAGGGCACGGAAGTGTTCGTCAAGTACTAGCAAGTTACTAGCATGGAGTAGAGTTTACATCATCCGTTAGGAGGGAGCCGTGGGCGTTATGCCTGTCTGTCAGTCATCCAGACTGCGGGAGCCGTTTGAGTAACAGAAGGTTTCGCGGCGATGGTGTACTTCCAGTTCCGTCGTCTCGCTAGGGCATTTTTGATAAGATGCTAGCCATGCGCCACGTGCATGCGGTGCTGCGGCAGGTGCATTAGGATGCTAAGAGCTAAGAGATTTCGATGGAGGGTGCTTGCCTGGATATTTCCTGCTCTAGGCGGAAGCCCGGGACGTTCAGACGACGGCACTCGGAGCAGTGACGTGATCGTGTGGGCATTGAGCATTGCCTGCCAGAAGTCTTGCTTCAATGAGTGCCTGTGTGGTGCTTACTTAATTTGGCCGGTGCTACCACCCCTAATCTCTCAGTGTTATGGTGTGTTGTTATGGAAAGGAGGGACGTCGTTAAACGACGTCTCAGCATCGAAGGATTGCCTCCGCCTGGAGGCCTGCAGGCTTTGCCGCCGAAGGCGACAGACCTCAGTCACCGCAATCCCTGCTTGAGGGAGAACACATGGACGTCGTGCATCGAAACAGCTAGTCGTGCAACTCTGTTCTCAAAGTCGGGATCCGGTACAGTTCGTTCGTCGAATCCGCCGATCATGGCTGCGCAAGGAAGCGCTGTTAACGACAAAGTGAAACGGCCGTTTGCCCCAGGTGGGGCAGTGCACGTGCGAAGCTGGCGAATTTGTCTTCTGCGTTACTTGTAGCAAGTATGAACAACCAGCTGCCGCGGGTGATGTCAAGAATTTCTTGTTATGCTGCCTGCCGTCTGCCGTTTGTCCAGCAGTCCGTGACATCCCGGACGCCCGCACACCACAGCATAGGTCTAGGGCTTCCGGCAGAGCGACTTAGCAGCAGTCTTGGACACCCACACCTTGCAAGACATTGCGATTACGCACTGGTGTTTGCCATGCGCATTAGTCGTCTTCGGGCAGCTGCAACTCGATGGGCCACTCCGAGCATTAGTCGCAGCGTGTGCATGCCAGTAGCCAGTGCTTGCATCTTGCAGAGGTGCAGACACAAGCCGCAGAGCTGCACGGCGTTTCCGTGCTCGGCTCCTCTCCAGCTTTGGCCGGCAGCTCAACACTTGTGCAGACTGCGATCTGAACGCGGCAACACTGCCACTGTGTTTGAGGTCTGGGCGCACGGACTTGGAGGCAGCTGCGAGGCAGATGACGCAAGGGGCGTAGAAGAAATCTTGGATCCCGGAAAGTTGGGTAACCGCACTGTCCTGCGGCTCGACCTGCGTGGCCACGGCCGCTCGGCTGGGGCTCACGACCCAGGCCGCGGGCAGCAGCAGTATACCTGGCCCGAGTTGGCCAAGGACCTGCGGCGAGCTGCCGCAGATTCCGTTTCCCGGTGCTTTTATGGCGGCGAAGCATTGGGAGCCGCCGTGGCGTTGCACGCGGCCGTAGCAGCCACCGCGACAGGCTCTGTGGACGCCCCACCTGGTTTGGTACTGATGCGGCCGCCGCTCGCCCTGGCACAGGTTGCCCGGGGTGAGGCGGACTCGGCCTGGCAGGAGCAGCTTCTGCGACAGGCTGCGACCCTTGAAGCCGAGGGCTTCGAGGGTCTAGAGGCCTTGGAGGCCACGCAAAGTGGACGGCCTCTTCTCAATGGCGCTGCGGCCTTCTTTGCAGATCCCAACGTCGAGCAGCTTTGCACATTGCGGCGTACCATGAGCAAGGCAAGTTTTGCAAAGTCGAGTCAGAGACCTTGGATTTCCGATTCTGCTCAGGATGCGCTTGCAGCGGCTGTGCGGGGACATGCAGAGTCTCAGCAGCCTGATCTACAGTTGATAAGCCGCCTCAAGGAGACCGTGAGCATGCCTCACTTCGACAGTATGCAAAGCAGTTGCGAGTGCAAGAGGAGAACCTGGCAAAAGCGCCTTCAACCATGGCAGCCGATGCCTATGGCGTGCCGCAGCCTGGCTTCAGCGGCTCGAATTCGAAACGTGTCGAATCCGAACTCCCACCTGGCAAAGGTTGACTCCAGGCTGCCCTGTGCTTCTGCTGGCTGTGGCCGCAGATGAAGAGCATCCGGTGAAGGACTCACCAGTAGTGCTTGGAAACGACATGTTCTTGGTGACGCGGGATGGGAGGCGGCAGAAGATCTGGCTTCTGCGCTGCCGAATGCTGAACTGGAGGTGGGCCACAGACGACCGTCTCATTCTGGTGCAACTCTCTTTGCAACAGGTGGCTGCAGACCTTGCGCGTCTGGGTTGCAGGTTGCCGGGCACGAGAGAAGGTTGTGAAAGGCACCGGCTAGGGTCGCTGAGGCAAGCAAGAGCGACATGGGCCGAGAGGATCGGCAGTTTCCTTCGTAAAGTCCGGTTCCCAGCCTCCTCGTGGCCATGTTGTGGCAAACGGGATAGAGCCAAGGCTTGGATGAAAGAATTTCTGACGAAGCGTATCATGCCTCAGTGAAGCATCCAGAAAACGGCCTTTGCAAGGGTGGATTGTTTCATGTTCTCCCATGGCCGCTCATGAGATGACTGACTGTCTTGCTCTCCTCACTTTTCTGCTGTGCCGTGTGCCCGTGTGCTCGAGATGTCTCTATGTCAAAGCCAAAAGTGCTTCGAAAAGTGCTTCAGCTGACACCAGTTGGCCCTGGCCCCGCGCCTCCACATGAGAGTCGCTGAACTCCTTCTCACGCTTTCTCTGGTGGGCGAGGCTCGGGCCCGTTGCTGGCTTTCCAGGTGCTTACAGCTCTCCTAGCTCTCCTTGTGACCGAGGCACTTCCGGCCACAGCTGCCGAAGCCGATGAGGCGATAGATGTAGATGCCACTCATACGCATCTTCCGAAGGTTTCTGCGAGGTTGTAAGTCAAGCTCAGTCATCGCGGGCGCTTTGTTGGACTCCAGCTGGTAGAGACATGGGATCCTAGAATTTCTTAGTAAAGCCCAAGGTTTGCATTGGCCCCTCATGGCCCGGGCCCCCCTCTCTTCAGGTTTCGAGCTTGGAGCTTCTGAAGAGGCACCAGGCACCTTGGCTCTTGATTACCGCGCGCGTTGTGGTGAGAAATTTGTGTAGTTTTGGCCTGTGCCGGTGTCCCACTGTGCGGCAGCTAGTGGTGAGGTTGACTTTTGGACCCCATGGGAAAGCAACACGAATGCGACCAGTGCAGCAGCGCTGCTGCTACGAAGCGAAACATCTGGTTGCGTGGATAAGACGCTTTCAAAAGACCATCCAGCCTGCCATGTTTACATTCTCACATGAACAGTATTCGGGCCGGCTGCAGCGCATTCAAGTCAAATGCTACGATCTCAGGAACTGGCAATGCTATGGCTGGGCACGCTTGGGCTACTGCGACCCCCATGCATTGGGTCCGAGTTCGCGTCGGTGCCTCCACTTGGCCTTTGGCTGTCTATTGCTGTCCCTCCAAGGCTCCAGCAATGCGGGGTACATGAGACGCAACTGTAGACACAGCTGCAACCTCTGCGGCAGGCCGAGCTGTTAGAATTCGTGACATGGAGGTTCCTTCTAGGTCTTTCCATGCCTCGTGTGATGTCTCTTCAGCTTCGTCCGACAGGGAATCCTGCAGGGGCCTCAACCAGCCATGCTGGATCAACGCTCAATGCTGCTCCGCGAGATGTGCCCAGACCCTCGGACAAATTTCATGTAATAACATAGGGCTGCAGAGTTTGATCCAGGGTGGGTGGGAAGAGAACTGAACGGATGTGCCAGGAACACCTATCACTGCAGACCTGTTGGTCGATGATTTGGCTTTCAGTTTCACCTTATCCCATTGCGGGTCAGTCTTCCCCTGACAAGATCCTAGTGGATGGCTCTGGAGCTCTGGAGCACTCGACTTGGTACTGACTGCACACGATCAATCTGAGACAGATGAATCGGGCAAGTATAGTCTTCGGGAAAAGAAAAAGGTATGGTATATATCAATATTTCGAAATTATTTTGATTGGTCGGGTTCTCTACGGCTAGGAATTATATAAACAAAATGATCACAACTATCTACGAAAAATTATAGAATTTATTATATATAGGAAGAGGTGGAGAAATTAAGGTGAATATTAGACTGGATAGTATTAATAGAAATTGAAGTAAGTCTCGCGAGCAATAATACGTTTGTTTCTCTTTATAATAAATTTCAATGGTTTCGCGTAGTGTTCCCTATTATAAGCCTGTCGCGATAAAATCTCGCTCTACAATCTTATATTCTCGAGAAGAGTTATATTTAGCACGACGTAAATTTAAGAGCCTCCGGCTCAAGCTGCCGACCCCGCAGGAGTGAGAAGAAAGGACGTCACAAACTTAGACGTATTTGTCGAGTGCAAGCACGACGCCGAAGTACTCCGCATTGGGCACCGGCAAAGCCGCGCAACGCAAATGCTACCAGAGCCAGATTGAATTGACGGTTCTGTACTGTCGTAGTAGCAGTAGTATCAGTAATATAGTCGTAGTCGTCGTCGCAGTCGTCGTAGTCATAGTGGTAGTACTCGTAATCGAAGTCGCAGTCGTAGTCGTACTAGTAGTAGCAGTAGTAGTAGTAGTAGTAGTAGTAGTAGTGGTAGTAGTAATAGTAGTATTGGTTATTGGGAACGTCGCACTGTTCGAGGGTGCTTGACGAGGGGGACAGGCACTTTGGGCACCCGGCTGTTCTGTTGACAGCATCACTCCTTGGTGATTCCCTGAGATAAAGTCGTACAAACAAACATTCTTAGCATCCCAAAATCTGAGCGGAGGCAGCGAGCTTCGGAGATCTGGCATCGGGCCAAGCAATCTTTACAGAATCAGTCCATCGAATGTAAGTCAAGCCCAGCGGGAGGAGGATTCGCTGTGGACTCCAACACAGTGTTGGCATCGGCAGTCGCTCCACCAATACCACCAGCCATGTCAGGGCTGTGCGTGTGCGGATCCTCTCGAATGATCTCGAAGTCTGCCTCTTCACTGGACGAGTCCACTTCCATTGGCTCGTGCTGTGTGACAGAGAGTTGAGCAGGCAGCATCTCTGAAGGCTCCGATCGGACCCCTGCTGGGTCTGCTGGAGCCTGATCACCACCACGGCTGCCACCAGGACCAGTCATACGCACATGTTGCTGGCGCATCGTGCAAGCTAGCATATGCTGATCGCCCCCAGTATCAGCACACAAGGAACAGCAGTGTGTATGCCCGGAACCAGCAGCTCGGTCACAACCTGGAATAACACATGTGCTGACCCTCAAGCGCAAGGAAGCCGCCTAGAACCGGGACCATTTGTGCTCGCAGCGCTCGGTGTGTGCTCCCATAGAGCACAGGGAGCAACAGTGAGCATGCCGGCACTTGGTGTACCTCCGACCGCACCCAGTCGTGGAACACAGCCTGGAACGCCTCGCCCCAATCAAGTCCTCCTCAGAACCTGCACTTCCACTGACAGGGCCGCGACGTCGACGCCTAGTGCGCCTTCCAAGCTGAGCTGTATTCTCAGCTCCCACTCCTGCATTCTCCCATGTGTTGCAGGGCCTACGGCGTACACGACCATCCTCAGGGGCATGTGCTCCAGCCGCATCACTAAAAGTCGAGCCAGCAGCCTGCGCCCCAGCAGAAGCTGCTGCATCGGCGCCCATGGATGCCATCGCTGAACCTGAGTACAACAAAGCACAGGCAGTAAAGGAGAGTGGGAAGACGATGATCGCTGTATTCGGTGGGTCGACTAGCACAATTAGCCCAACAAGCGCTGAGATCACAAGGGATCACGAGGGCAGGTGCAGATAGCAATGTCTTTGAGCAATGCGCGCGCTTTCCCCATCGCACTGCGGCTACAGGTGTAAAGACTGCCAGATGCCGTCAAGAACAGACGCTGACAGTGACTAGGAGAGGATTGTTGCCGCAGCACCCCTAGTGGCTGTTGGCATTGCGCAAGCATTGCACCAAGCATACCCTGTTGTTGTACCCCAGGCAAGTCTAGGTCCCTTGCAAAACCGCAAAGCATTGCCAATGCCTATTGCCTATGCCTATCAAGCTTAGCCTAGTCAGGAAGCACAAAGCCTAGATCCTCCAGCAGCTCGCCATACTTAGGCTTGGCTATTGCATGCATACGCGCAGTGTAGGCAAGGATCACCAGACGGTCCCCGCCCTGCCATGGCATTGTAGCATGTTGGCTCGCACGACTGTTGAAGGCAACAGCACACCCACTGGTGGGGTAAGTATTACCGGCCAACATGCCAGCATCTGCATCTACGTAATCCGAGCCCTGCTCACACTGCACCCAGAGTTGGCCATTTTCACAATGCGAAATACCGACGAGGAGACTATGGTTATCAGCATTACCAAGGTCCCGATGCACGGTGGTACTGTTGTTGAGGTTTACAGCCAAACTGGTCCAGCAGTGATCATGTTTGATAGCACGAATCATGAAGTTGAGCAGGCGGCATGTGGAGCGATGCAGCTTCGTGGCCCCTGAAAGACCTGTCAGGCCTCCTTTATTGTACAAGCCCAATCGCAGAGTTTGTCCATTCGTAAAACTGCGAGGGTCCTCATCAAAAGGCAGGTCTCGAGCAACAGATCGAACAGCAGTCCACAGAGCACAGCGGCCCTCTTGCAAGTAGTGATAAGCTAGAACTTCAGCTCGACTTGAGCGGGGGTCAGGCTCATCGTCTGGTTCCGGGACATTGACTAACACTTCCATGATATTGGAGCGCGCCAGCATATCAGCGTACTCCAGAAAGTGCCGTAACGAATCCCCTGACAACATCTGCATGGCTACATAGACGAGCTCGTTGCGGGCAAACAGGGTAAAACATGGTCGGATGGCTGAAGCATCATCCGCACCGTTGCGGAGAGCCTTAAGCAACAGCGACTCCTCCAGTGCAACAAGTTGCATGTGATCCGGAAGCGCATACAAAGCAACATTCATGGCACTGGAGTTGCTAGGCACCTCAACCTAGCAGGGTGACCGACCCAGGTCACCATGAGGCTGCTGTTGCTGCAGAGGGCAGGGCTGGCAAGGCAACAGAGGGCGTATTCATAATAACAGAACATGTACAGTTGGGCTCCTATCCAGTGATGCACACACTCGAGCATGTAAGCGATGAGACTCGAGCGCAGAGTGCCGCGCTCCCTGACGCAGCACTACAAGGGCCGACCTAGGCCCTCGCGCGCGTTCGAGAACTCACCGCCGGCGGTGCAGGCACATCACAGCATAGGGGCATGCAACTCACTGAGGAAATGCAAAGGCTAGTGTGATTCAAGAAGAAACAGACATTGATGACCAGTTGACACAACATGCCAATGATGCAACGGAGTGCCATCGGTCGATGTTTTGGGCCCAGTCGTAGACAGAGCAACGCTTCGGCGCTCTCCCCGTGACTCAAGCTTCAGGGGTTTGAGGAACTGGGGCACCCCTGAGGCCCCTTTGTCTGTGCTATGGGCATCGAAGTAGACCCACCAGGTAGGCATTATGATCTACCTCGTGTAAGTCTCGCTTAGTAGCGCGCTTGGGGACTTTATTATCGTCACAGGCATACAAAGTCCAATCTGGGCTGTGGGGATGGCCTATGAGGGTCTTATAATGTCCACTAGTAACTGTTGCCCCGAGGTGGTATACTACGACGATAACCCGAAAAGGCTCTAATCTCGTGCAGAGGTCTGTGGCTTCAGTGAAAACAGGGATGGCCACCAGATCACCTGGACGAACAGTGAGCGGTTACATGTTTTTGCGGGTGTGCGATTCATACCGACACAGTTGCAAAAAAATACATCCATGATGATCTGCTAGCGCGTGCACTGCATACTGACTGTGCCACATGTCAATGGATTCTTGCAGTGTGCCTCCAGAGAGGTTCAGGAGCAGAGGGGCACCACAGTCACCTGAGTCATGCAACTGATAAGGATTGGCAAGGCGTGACTCCCAACGCCAATCACAAGCGCGCGGCCGCGCCACAGACAACAGATGTTGCAGGAATTCTCCTGCATCGTGCTGTTGATGCAAATGACGCCATTGCACAAAGAGCGGGCGTAATGCTAGGCAGTCTGGCAATGCAATGGGCCGATTGGCACGCATAACGCGTAGCCCGGCCTGAAGGGTGCCATAGCAGGCCAAAGCCAGAGTGGACACCTCACCCAGCCAGTAGAGAGCTGTGCAAACAGCATTGCAGTAACACAGGTTGGTGCGATTCTGCAGTTTGCAGAGTGGCAACATAAGGCTGGCACCTGCAGTTTTGTGCTGCACGACCTCATGTGCAGCCACAGCGGGCCGACCTAGGCCGCGCTGTTCTTCCAGGGGCTGTCCTGAGCTCCCCAGTCGCAGTAGGAGGTCCCCATGTAGGACTCCTTCAACTGCTTGATCAGCTGCGACTCCTGACCCCGCTCCGGGCGGATGCGAACTCCGATCAGCTTCGTGATGGCCAGACCGCTCAGGACACGAAGGGCATCGAAGCAGATCTTGCATGACTCGCCCGGAGCCCGATTGAGGCCATGAAAGGGAGGACCTCCGCCTTGTACTGATCCTTCGGCGACATCTTGCGAGGGGTCTTGAAGTTCTTGAGGACACCTTCCCTCGGGGAGTGCTGGAGCAGCAGGTCGATCATCTTCATTGCCTCGGAGTGTGGCAGAGGAGGGGTGTCCGCCTTGATCTGGCATTTTGCCGCAGAGTCCCAGGTGTGATACACCCAGGCCGGGTTGAGCGCCGTGGCTCCCTGAACCGTCCACTCCACGTTCATGCAACGCTGAAGGCGATCCTCGTCTTGCAACACCTCCTCGGCCTTCGTCTTCAGGGTCTCCAGCATGCAGAGAAAGAGGACGTGCCGCAATGGTGTCGTGACCGTGCCCTGGGCGAACTTCTGGGACCAGTTCTCGGCCATGGATCGAAGCAGGGGAAGGATGCCCAACCCCGAAGTATCGATGAAGACCATGTAGCCGACATCGGTTTTGATCCTCTGGATCTCTGCCTCGTGCCGTAGCACCACCTTCACCATGCTCCGCATCACATCCTGAGTGGCTTGGTCCAGCACCATCTGCTGCTCCTGACCTGCCGTGGCCGTTGGCTCCCACTGGCGCTTCTGGCCCCAGCTGCCTTGGTACCAGCCACCCTGTGAGCCGCCTTTGCCATTCTTGGAAGCTGGCTTCTGCCGTTTGGGCTGTCGAGCTTCCGGCGTGGGGGCCTGGTCGTCCTCCAGGCCTCCCTCGCTTGGTCCCGGAGTGGTGCTCAGGCTCGGCGGGGGAATAGCCCCTAGTACCTGCCGCATCTCCTCGCGAGCCTGAATGGCTCGGGCTGCCTCCTCCTTCTCGTTGTCCATTCTGCGAGGCCTGGGCCAGTATCAACGATGCTAGCGAAGCCTGGTACAGTACTGTGCAATGCTTATGGTGCCGGCTGGGCTGGGAAACTTGCAGGCCGCAGTGCTGACAGCTAGAGGCAGCTCGGAGTCCAGCGCTGCAGCACCGTGACACAGCTTGGTCATGCAAAGCCCATTCTGCAATATGCATTTGCCTATGATGCTGTTTGACACGCGCACACCACTGCCCACAGATGACACAATATGCAGCAAGCTTGGCACGCATGGACTCGTTTTTCAACGGAAGTTTCCAGTGCTGGCGCGACAATTCACAGAAAGTGTCGTCATCAAGCAGGGCACCGGAATTAGATAAAGCGACAGGCGACCTGGAGGCAGTCAGAGGAGCTCGGCACGAGTGCCCCAGCAGCTCCTCACGATCCGTGGCTACCTGCACCACTGGATCGCTGACTGCCTCCCTTGCTGTGGAAGAAACAGAAACCGGCCTGGCCTCACACCCCCGACGTACATGTTTCTTAAGACCTTCAACTCGAGTGAACTGACGGCCACATGTGGCGCAGGTCGGCATCCCGTCTACAGCATGGGCAGCGTACGCGCTGGCAGAGAGTACACCAGGCCGGGCTGGCCGATTATACCGTCCATGAGCTCGGGCCCTGTGTGAGCGCATGATACGCGCATTGATGAAGTACTGCCCACATACACTACAAGAAACCCCAGCACTCGGCTCAGCATGATCTGGTGTCTCTGAATCAGGCTTCCAGTACTGCTGTTGCAGGGTTACAACATCAAAGAGCCGGCTCTGAAACCAAGTCATCTCTTCAGGCGTCTGGCATTTGACAATCCTACGGTCAAGAATGCCTTGAATGGCCTGAAGCGGTGACATGACACCCAACCTCAAGCGCAGCGAAGCCGTGCTCTCCCGAGTGATGAATGACGGCGAATAGGCTATGGCTCTAAGAGACCGGGCTTCAAACTGATCCAGCTTGCGGGCAATGCTGGGGGTGACCCCTACAACATGCATGCCATATAGGAGACTACTGCGTATACAAGCAACATACAGTCGGGTGCGCTGCTTTAAGAGCAAGCGTTTGCTTCGGAGCACTTTGGAAAGACGATGCCGGCACTGAAGCGCGGCCTGGTGCCGGTGCGCAAATGTTTGTTGTTCATAGCTACCATAGGAGATAACAATACCCAAGTACACTGCACTGTGCACTCGTGGAATCAAGATGGGTTCGTGCGGAGTGCCCAGATTGAGCACCGGTCCAGTGGCAGTGCGCTGCGTGTGGGCTTTGATCCACTTACGCGCTGCTCCACCACGGATTTTCAAGATAAATTTTGATTTGTCAGGGTTTAGTCTCATACCAAACTCAGCAAAGGTCTGAAACGTTATTTGGATACACTTGACAAGGAAACGTAAATCGGCAGTGGAGTCGATATCCCACGAAATGTGGGTGTCATCTGCGAACATAGTGATGGCACGCGCTGCCCAGCACGCAGACGTACGAGAGGCCAAAACATCATATAAATGACAGGTGTAGACAATGAAGAGCAAGGGACTCAAGGCACACCCTTGTCTGACACCTTTCCGCATCGGAAAGTGGCCCTGCTGACCTTTGTGGGTGACGGCATAGTGACACTGTGTATGCAGCTGCGTGATGAGCTCTCGTAAGTCTGCTGGAACACCCGCGTGGGCCAATGAGGCATCAAGGGCAAGTCTTGGGACTTCATCGAAAGCTCTGCTCAAGTCGAGGCTGAGCATGGCGCCTCCTAGACACCGACTTACTGTGCGCCCCTCACGCTTATCATGGACGGTTAAGCAGGAGTGCTGCAGTTTGGCACGAATGCTGGAGCAGTGCGATAGGACCCTTGCTATGGCGCCATCAATGGACTTGCCCTTGATGTAAGCAAACTGCGGTCTTTGCGCAACATACGGGCCAACAATGGCAGTCAGACGTTCTCGTACTGCTACGGCCACTACCTTGGAGCTGGGGTCCTGTAAGCCTAATGGGCGCAAGTCTGAGGGCCGCTTACCCGGCTTATGAGGTTTGGGCAACAGAGTTAGTTCGCAGTCCGTGATTTCTGAAGGAAGAGGCCGCATCTCAGTGTGCGGTGCACTGAGAACACGCACGAGCTGCTCAGCATATTCGCTGGGACACAACCGCCACAGTTCAGCAGGTGTGCTGTTTTTGGGGACAGCCTTACCTCCCTTAAGAAACCCAATGGCACTAACTATTTCCGCTTGACTGAGTTGGACAGGCACGCACGTGCGTTCAACTGTTGTGTCCTCGCCATCGAAGGCATCACGAAAGTATGCGAGAATCTCTTCGAATTCTTCGCGCGGCCCTAGCAGGGTGCCATCGGCCTTCCGAATCCTGACAGTGTCGTACCTGCGCTTAGGAGCGAGTATCCGAATAACCCGATACACGGCGCTAATGTCCTGCCTCTGGGCTGCCGCTTCTGCGGTGAGAATATGATTCTCGAACCACTGGCGTCGAGCTTGTCGGCTGGCTGCACGCAACTCACGACTACGACGCTGAAGAACACGGTATACTTTCCAGGCTGAGATGATCCCACGTAGATTACGACAGTTTCGATGCTCAAGGAAGGTCCTATGCGCCTGCCACATGAGTTGTACACTACGAACAACCATAGGCTGCGTACACGGTTTCTGACGCTGGGTTGCCTGGCCTGGGTACAACTGCGCGCAGATATGAAGCATTTGCTTGTTCAGCTGGTGTAGTGTGGTGTCAGGCCGCGCATCCGTCAGAGTTTTGCTCACACGTAGCTGCAGCTCTTGCGCATTGCTGTCCCAGACATGCAACGATTGCCGTAAAGCGGGAAGGGAGACTCGGGAGGGTTTTAAGACCTGAGGATGGAAGAGCCATCCGGCCCGCCAAGGTATACTAGCTACGATTGCTCGGTGCTTACCCCCTCCCCGCCACGGCGCAAGGTCGAACTCCACGGATTTGCATTGACGAGCTATGCGATCAACTGTAGGTCTACGCATGGCTATGAAATCAATCTGACTACTGACAGTGCCAAACTGGTACGTTCGACTCACAGCGGGAGCAGCCCTACCCCATGTATTGAGCAACACAAGTTGTTGAGCAGTCAGTAGAGCTTCAAACTCAGGATCAGGATTATGCTGTGTACGGAGTACCCCTCGTCCTATGAGCCCATTGACCGAACGACACTGCGTGTTAAAATCTGCTCCAACAATGACAAGATTCCTGGAAGGTATACTGTGCAGCAAGTCGCCCAGCTGTGCCCAAAAACGACTGCGCTGGTCTGAGGTGTTCCTGGAGCCTCCTTCGCTGCGTACCCATTGATAACCAGCAATGACATCCAGGGTAACCAAGTCACTGGTGCACCTGACATGTAAAAGGCGTCCAGGGATGTGCGAGCGGTGACTGATCTGGTCTGGCTTGGCCACCCGGTTAGATATGAAAACCCCAATACCAGAAAAACGCTGGCGAGCATCAGCACTGGTCACTATGGACCACCCAGGTATCTGCCAGGAGCTGTCAGTTTTGCCGCACCCCCAATGGAGTTCTTGTAGTATCACGATGTCGTCATTGCAGGAGGTAGTTAACCAATGATGTATGACGTCATAGACAGAGCTGGTCACCCCTCCTACGTTGTAGCTGCGCACGCAAATTCTCGGCCGCGCGCGCCCCATCCTGGGAGCCTCGCTGGAGATCGGCCCCCGCCTTGCGCCTACTGCGCTGCTCGTCACGAGCTGTTGGGTTCCCAGTGCTTCAGCTGTCATCCATCTGCCCCTGTAGACAGTCCCACCATGGGTTTCCGCTCGGCGTCGTGCCCGACGATAGGCACGCTTCCTAGAAGCCGAATGCTGAATTGTACGACTGGTAGATTCACCAAAGTTTTTCGCCACTCTGGAATGAGCAGCTCCCGAGTTACCTGTGGTGGTAATCTCAACCCTCGGGTCTCCAGGACTTCGCGCAGTTGTTGTCGCGCCCCCTACATGTACGTCCTGTCGCAGGATTTGGGACCCACGAGACTCAAGCATTGCCGGTGCCACCAGAAGGGACGTCCAGAACAAAATGCTCAGCAGTTGTGATCGACAGAGAACCATGACACCGCAGATCAGCCCTTCTACCTTTTGCATGCTCAAGCCGAGACCCTTAGTAGTAGTAGTAGTAGTAGTAGTAGTAGTAGTAGTAGTAGGTAGTAGTAGTAGTAGTAGCAG